CTTTCAGTTTTTCCCCATTGAGTGTGATATTGGCTGTGGGTTTGTCATATACAGATTGTATTATGTTGAGATACTTTCCTTCTATACCCATTTTATGGAATGTTTTTATCATAAATTGATGTTGGATCTTGTCCAATGCTTTCTCTGCATCTATTGAGATGATCGTGTGGTTTTTGTTCCTCATTTTGTTAATGTGGTGTATCACATTGATTGATTTGTGGATGTTGAACCATCTCCGTGTCCCTGGTATAAATCCCACTTGATGATGGTGTATGATCTTTTTAATGTATTACTGTATTTGGTCTGCCAATATTTTGTTGAGTATTTTTGCCTCTATGTTCATCAGTGATACTGGCCTGTAATTTTCCTTCTTTGTGTTTTTCTTGTCTGGCTTTAGTATGAGGGCGATGTTGGCCTCCTAGAATGTATTAGGAAGTGTTCTGTCTTCCTCAATTTTTTGGGATATTTTGAGAAGGATAGGCCTTACATCTTCTTTGAATGTTTGGTGGAATTCTCCAGAGAAGCCATCTGGTCCTGGACTTTTATTTTTTGGGAGGTTTTTGATTACCATTGGAATCTCTTTACTTGTGATTGGTCTATTCAGATTCTCTATTTCTTTTTGATTTAGTTGTGGGAGTTTGTAGGAGTCTAAGAACTTATTCGTTTCTTCTAGATTGTCCAATTTGTTAGCATATAGTTTTTCATAGTATTCTCTTATAATCTTTCCTATTTCTGTGGTATGCATTGTAATTCCTCCTCTTTCATGTCTGATTTATCTATTTGAGCCTTCTCTCTTTTTGTCTTAGTGAGCGTGGCTAAGTGTATGTCAATTTTGTTTATATTCTCAAATAATCAGCTCTTTGTTTCATTGATCCTTTCTACTGTCTTTTTGGTTTCAACTTTATTTATTTCTGCTCTGATTTTTATTATTTCCCCCTTCTACTGACTTTGGGCTTCATTTGTTCTTTTTTTAATTCTATTAGGTGTAATTTGAAGTTGCTTGAGATTTTCCTTGTTTGTTGAGGTGAGTCTGTGTTGCAGTGAATTTCCCTCTTAGGACCACTTTTGCTGCATCCAAAACGTGTTGGTGTGGCCTGTTTTCATTTTCATCCGTCTCCAGATAATGTTTGATTTCTCCTTTAATTTCTTCAGTGATCCAGCAGTTTTTCGGTAGCATGCTGTTTAATCTCCACATCTTTGCCCCTTTCCCAGCTTTTTTCTTGTAGTTGATTTCCAGTTTCATAGCCTTATGGTCGGAAAACATGCTTGATATTACGTCAGTCTTCTTAAATTTATTGAGGCTTGCCTTGTCTCCCAACATATGGTCTGTCTTTGAGAATGTTCCATGTGCGCTTGAGAAGAATGTGTAGCCTGCTGTTTTTGGATGGAGTGTTCTATATATACCTGGTCTAGTTTTTCATTTAATTCTACAATTTCTTTGTTTTGACTTTCTGTCTGGATGATCTACCCATTGGTGTAAGTGGGGTGTTGAAGTCCCCTGCTATCATTATGTTGTTGTTAATATCTCCTTTTAGGACTATTAATACCTTGCTTTATGTACTTTGGTGCTCCTGTGTTGGGTGCATAAATATTGGTGTAATGTCTTCTTAGTGGAGTGTCCCTTTGATCATTATATACTGCCCCTCTTTGTGTCTCTTTACCTGTTTTGTCTCGAAGTCTACTTTGTCTAATTATGGTGACACCTGCTTTCTTTTGTTTGCCATCAGCTTGGAGTTTCGTCTTCTAACCCTTCACTCTGAGTCTGTGTTTGTCTTTGGGGCTGAGATGTGTTTCCTGGAGGCAGCATATTTCTGGATGTTGTTCTTTAATCTATCTTGCCACGCTGTGTCTTTTGATTGGAGAATTCAATCCATTTACATTTAGAGTGATTATCAATATATGAGGGCCTAATGCTCTCATTTCTTCACTTGTTTTCTGGTTCTCCTGCATTTCCTTTGTTTCTTGTCCTGCGTATTGCAGACTACCAATTCAGGTAGGTAGTTTTCTATGCTACTTTTCTTAGTTTTCTCCTTATTTATCATTGTGTCTCTGTTCTAATCATTTGTTTAGTGGTTACCATGAGGTTTGTATAAAAAATCTCATAGATGAGACAGTTCATTTTCTGATATCCTCTTATTTACTTAGACTAAGCTGGTTTCATCCCTTTCCTCTTCCAAGTTGTTATTGTCACATCTTATTTCATCTTGTGTTGTGAGTTTGAGCTTAAAATGACAAGATTATATTTACTTTTGGTGTTTTCCTTCCCATTGTCTTTAATGTCATAATTAAGCATTTGCGTAACCTGTTCTGATGGAAAACTGCAATTTTCTGTTTTTGTCTATCCACTTATCTCCTTGCTCAGGGTTTTGTAACCCCCCACCCCTTTTTTTTCAGGTATGAGGGCCTTCTTGAGGATTTCTTGTACTGGGGCGGCGGGTGTCTTGTGGCGATGAACTCCATTAACTTTTGTTTAACCAGAAAAGTTTTTGTTTCTGCATCATATTTGAAGGATTTTTGCCTGATAGAGTATTCTTGGCTGAAAGTTTTGTCTTTCAGAATTTTGTATATATCATTCCACTCTCTCCTAGCCTGTAAGATTTCTGCCGAGAAATCCGCTGACAGCCTGACAGGGGTTCCTTTGTAGGTTATTTTCTTCTGCCTTCTTGCCCTTAATGTTTTTCCTGTGTCATTGACTTTTGCCAGCTTTACTACTATATGCCTTGCGGTTGTTTTTTTTTTTAACATTCATAAAGTTTGGAGATCGATTGGCGTCTGTCACATGGATTTCCAGCTTCTTCCCCAAGTTTGGGAAGTTCTCAACTATTTTTTTTTGAACAATTTTCTGCTCCATTCTCCTTCAGTTCTCCCTCTGGGATACCTATAATCCTTATGTTGCATTTCCTAATTGAGTCGGATATTTCTTGGAGAATTTCTTCATTTCCTTTTAGTTCTCTCTCCTCTATCTGCAGCATTTCTATATTCCTGTCCTCCTGACAGCTAATTCTGTCCTCCATATTATCAGCCCTAATGTTCAGAGAGTCCATATTTTTCTTTGTCTCATCCATTGTGTTTTTCATCTCCAACATTTCTGATTGGTTCCTCTTGATAGTTTCAAGCTCTTCTGTGAAGTAACTCCTGAAATCGTTGAATTGTCTATCTGTATTCTCTTTTAACTCATTGAATTTTTTAGTGACAGCTACTTTGAATTCTTTATCATTTAGGTTATATATTTCTGTGTCTTCAGGATTGATTTCTGGGTACTTGTCATTTTTCTTGTGTTCTGGAGATTTAATATATTTTTTCATACTGCTTGATGGCATGGATTTGTGCCTCCACATAGAGATAGAATTTGGTCCCGGCTTCCACTTTCTGCCACTATGGGGAGGTGGCAGGAGCTATGTAATCTGCACCCACCAGGATCCCCATCAACAGAGCCTGTCTGAGCCTGAGCCACTCCTTGTTATTGCAGGGACCCTGAGGGGTCTCCCGCCAACTGTGGGAACAATCACACAGGGGCTCTGGGCTGTTGCCGCCTGCTCCTACAGATCCACCCAGGTGTGCATCCCCTTTCAGGGCCTCAGTGGTGTTACGGGCTTTTGAGGCAGCCAGGAGCTCGTTCGCCTGGACTTGCAGCTCCACTGCTGTCTGGTCCTAGGTTGTAGCAGCTGTCGTGCTTGGTGGATGGGGCCTCCCTGCTGGGTCTTAGCCAGTGCTGCTCCCTGGAACTGTGCTGGGATTATGGACTCTCCCACCAGTTGAGAGAGTGATCGCACAGGGGCTCAGGGCTGCTGCCACCTGCTCCCACATTCCCACCAATTGTACTGCCCCTTTGGGGATGCTGTGATACTGTAGACATTTGTGGCAGCTGGGGGCACTTTCGCCCATGCTGCAGATATGCTGCTGTCTGCTGCTAGGTCACAGCAGCTTTTGTGCTTGGTAGGTGGGGCCTCCCCACTGGGACCAAGCTGAGTCTCTCCCTGGGGCCACAATGGGACTGTAGGTTTACCTGATGGCCCAAGGAGCGATCACACAGGGTCTCAGTGTTGTTACTGCCTGCTCTAACAGCCCTGGTGGGTTGTACTTCCCCCTTTGGGGCTGCAGCAGAACTATGGGCATTTAGAGCAGCCAGGGGTTTGTTTACCTGGACTTGCAGCTCTGCCGCTGTCTGCTCCTAAGCCGCACCAGCCTTTGTGCTTGGTGGGTGGGGCCTCCCCACTGGCTCCAAGCCTAAGTCACTCCCTGGTGCTGAGGTGGGACTGTGGGTCTTGCCACTGGACAAAAGAGCAATTACAGAGGGCTCAGGGCTGCTGTCACCTGTTTCCACAGTGGTACCAAGGTGCACGCCCACCCTTGGAGCTGCAGTGGTGCTATGAGCGCTTCAGCCAGGAGAGCAGTCACTCATGGATACTAGGCTGGCTGGGGGCCAGAGTATTCTCACCTATCTCCACCTCCTCCCTGGGGGTAGTCCATTCACCTTCTGATGGCTCTCTTAGGCATCCTGAGGTGCCGTGTGGGTATCCTCCATTGATCAACGCATGTCCATTTAGTTGCAGTTCAAAGGTGGAGAGAAAGGGAACAGCTCACTCCACCATGTTGCTGACACCCTGCCATTTTTATTTTTACCATTTATTGAGACTTCCTTTATGACCATGGATATCATCTATTCTGGTAAATATCTCACGTGCATTTGAATATGATGAGTATTTGAAATTGTTGGATATGGTGATTTATGTGACACTTAGGCTAATTGATTAATCTTGCTTAAATCTTCTATTTCCCTGTTCATTTGTTTTGTCTGAGTGTTCTATCAGTTGCTGATAGAAGTGTGTTAATACCCACAAGTAGCTTTCTTTACTGTTCTATTTCTCCTCTTTGATCTCTTGACGTTTGCTTTCGATATTTTCAAGCTATTAAGTAGATATAAATTTCTGTTGAATTATATCATGTCTTGAGGCAGCTAGGCATCCCCTTGAGGGATAACTTCCCCAGCAGAGATCATTACAGGGTTTCGAGGTAGAAGTGGCTAAATTCCTCAGACAGGAGAGGTCTGGGTTCTCTCCCTGGTGAAGGAGTCTCAGGAATAATTGAGGGGATCTAGATACTCAGAATCACTTAAGTCCACCTGGAATTCCCCTTTGCAAGTGTCAAGGATTTTTCCCTTCTCAGTCAGTATCATAAATTTCCCTCTAGAGTCTTGGCGAATCTATGTACTCAGCTTACGTTGTGATTCTGTAACTCCACAGTTGAATTCGATTTCCTGTGAGGTTGGCCATGTGGCTAAAACAAATGAGAGATTCTTTTAGGCCCACCATTATCAGCTCTCTGAGCTGAGAATTTAGAGCCTTGAGCTTATTGTGCAAATTCTCCAATAGAATGCAGTATGGCCACCCCACCCCTCAGTCCTGGAGGTGACCTTAGTCATCATCATAGCCCTCACTTAGTCCCCCACACACTTGCTTCTGTAGGATGCTTCATGACAACGAACATGGGGTGGTAATTTAATTGATTGTGATGTCACTATATGCCCATTCCCCACTGGACAGGAGTTCAGCAGTGCGTTAAAGCCATGGACATGCCCAAACCAATCCCACAGTCCTGTTTTGTCTTGTCTCTCTTGGCAGCACTCCTGGTACCTAGTCCTGTATCTGTCAAGATCTAGTCCAGAAACGAGAAACCCAGCAAGTGTAATTATTATAGGGAATTCTTGAAAGGGTGTTAGAGGACTAAAACGATAAAAAGGGCACACTGAGGAACACAGAGGTATGAGTTGCCAGAAGGAGCCCCACTCCTAAGAATGGGGGAACAAAGGGAAGTGATTGGGGTTATCGTAACCTAGAAACTCTCCAAGTGGGCCGCAAAGATCTGGACCTTGACTGTAGAAGACAGAGCATTGCCCAGGTGATGCTGGCAGTTTAAGAACTTAGAAAAGGGAGACCGTGCAGCTGATAGCTGTACCTCTTCTAAGGTAAGGCTGAGCTGGTGCTGGTTCCTTGGGTGGAAGAAGGTCCTCCAAACTGTGACTCAGATCTTGGAGAGAGAGGTGCTACACACATGGGGCTTATATCAAGCTGCTTTGTGCTATGGCCTGGAACATCTGAGAAAGGAACCCTGGCATGGGTTGCTTAGGGTGCTGGAGGATGGCTGTGTACATCTGGCTTTCAGACTTCTGGGGAGGGCGCGCTGTCCACCAGGTACTTGTGCCTTTGACAGGGCTTGATGGAGCTGGTCCTGGGAATGTGATAACCAACTCTCACCACCGGAGCAAAGCACCATTGCTGAGGATTCACAGAAAGTAACGACAGGTAAATAGGTAGTAGCAAGTCCCTTGTCCTCTCCTTTTGCCTTTTATTCTTCCTCTAGCACCCTTCTTGGCAAAACTCTTCAGCAAGCCAAATAGCAATGGAGAAATACGATGTGCAGATTCCCATCTCTAGCTTCATAGACACAATATAAATTTTATTTTTGGAATTCAGAAAATAGTTGATAATTAGCATAAGGAGTGTCAGCAGAATGCTGCTGTAGCTTTTGTGGTTACAGGTAAGAGAAGGTGACACTGATCTTTGTGAAGTTCTCTGATATTTTCTACCTTATCATGTTTCAATTACTTGTGGCTCCCTAAATCGATTTCATAACCCTGTGTGGTTTGTGACCCAAGTTTGAGAAACGCTGAATTAGGTTGTGAACGAGAGTGAGTGGAGACATAAGAGAGGGATTTTGATGAGTTTGATATAGTTTCTAGAAATAGAAGAAAGAGTTCATGACTGATGCAGAGGAAGGTTCTCACACTGCTTGAAGTGCTGGTCATAAAAAAAGGAAGGGCTTTGGAGTGACACCAGTCAGATAATTAGTGCTAATGCCATGTTCCTTCAGGGCTTGTCTTTGGAGCAGTGCAATGGTGGCAAAGACAAGAGTCTCAAAGACTCTTGGCAATGGACTTTTCTATTTTTACCACATCATTTTCCTGATAAAGCTTAATAGAGGTTATTTTTCTCTTTATGATCTTTCATCTTTATTAATCCTCTTACAACTCACACATTCCTATCTTAATATCTCCAAATCTGTAGCAAATACCAAGGATATCTTGAAGAGAGACTTGGATAGGAAATGTGGTAATTAGGATTTCACCTCTATCAGAGGTGCTTTCCCTGAGAGGTTTCATCTAGTATTCTTGGTTTCCAGGAGCCATCTATTAGTTCTGGAAAAGTCCCAGATGTATACAGGTGTTCTTGATATAATACTGAGGTTATTTCTCATGCTCTATACTGCTGATCCTGTTTCTGTTCTTACTTAGAAGATTCAGGCCACCAGTATGTGTTTAAATATGTCTCCACATTTGTTTTAACTTTTGCTGTCACATATTAAGCAAATGATTGTTACTTTTAACTGAAAGTCAGTCAATGAGCACAATTAGCTTTTACCTGAACTAAAATTTTCATTTTCAATGGGAATGACATAAGTCCACTCGAATTACGGTCTTTTGAACATTTTAATGTACTGACTCTAGGCTTAAACTCCTCAATCCAGCTTTCTCTAGAGAACTCAGCTAACTCACCAGCCATGTAAAGAAGAGAATAGAGTCTGTATTTATAGAACCAAGATGAGTCTCTTATGATTGAGAACATGATGCACTGGGCTGGGTGGAGAGCAGCCTGCTGCCTCCTTGTGTGATTGGAGGCAACTGGGCTGTTTGCCTTGCCCCAAAATAGCAGCCCCACTCCCTGTTTCCCCATCAGTGTGGCTGCCTTCCTTTGAATGTCCAGGGCTTTTCTGCAGATAAAAATTTGTCTTGATTGGATGGGGTCTCCCCAAGTAATGAGTCCCTTACACGGGGCTTACTTTGCTAACTTCAAACAGAGTGGGGCTAGATAAGATGTCTGCAGAAGAAAAGGAGAGATGGAACAAGCTGTCTGAATAAAGGGACAAAAATGGTGGGTTTGGGGTTGTTTGTCCACATGCTTGCTGAAGATAGCAGGGTACCAGTAGAGTTTTGGGTGGAGGGAAAATTTGGGAGTCAGATGTCAGTCTTTTTTAATGTGGAAAATTTGATGCCAGTTTACATGTTTAGAGACTAGTATGTAATGAATCCTTGTGTATCCACCATCCAGGTTCAACAATTATCCACCTGTGATGAATCTCCTTCACCTCTTCCCCTGGAAGCCTGCCCTTCCCCTACTCCTTCTCCTTTCATGTGTATGAAAGACAGTCTCAGGCACTTTATTGATTCAAGCCTTGTCCCAATTGCAGAATCACTTTTATCTACGTTCTTCTTTCTCTCTCTTCCACCCTCCCTCTCCTACCCACCCATCCTAGCTCTTCTTTCTATTTTCACTTTCAGCATTGCAGCTCTGATGGTCCAGGTCTGCCAGGACACAAATCCATAATGGTCAGCGCTGCACCCTGAGCAGCTCAGAGGGAGGAGCCAGACCAGCAGTGCCTCATGTTCTGCCCTCTTCTGTCCTGGACAGATAGCTCCATAATGACAGCTCCATGATGGCAATGGGTAAGACCCTGGTGCACATCAGGGTCACTCTTCTGCTGCTCTGGTTTGGGGTGTCTCTGTCCCTTTCTGGACACTCTCAGTCCAGGCCCTTTCAGCGCTTCTCCTCCCCGGAATCGGTGATCCCCTTGAAGGTGACTGGCAGCAGCAGAGATGCAGAGGCTCCAGGCTGGCTCTCCTACAGCCTGCGGTTTGGTGGCCAGAGACACATTGTCCACATGAAGGTCAAGAAGTTCTTGGTTTCCAGACATCTCCCGGTGTTCACCTACACAGACCAGCGTTCCCTCCACCAGGATCAGCCTTTTGTTCCTGATGACTGCTACTATCATGGTTATGTGGAGGGGGTCCCCGCGTCCCTGGTTGCCCTCAGTACCTGTTCTGGGGGCTTTCGAGGAATGCTACAGATAAATGGCCTTGCTTATGAAATTGAGCCAGTTAGGTTTTCTGCCACATTTGAACACCTGGTCTACAAGATAGATGATGATACACAGTTCCCACCTAGGAGATGTGGGTTAACAGAAGAAGAAATAGCACGCCAATTGAAGTTGCAAGAGTCATATGATTCCACTCTGAGGCAAAGTTCTTTTACAGGCTGGTGGACTCACTTGCGGTTTCTTGAGCTAGTAGTGGTCGTGGACCATCTTCGATATGTTCACTCTCAAAGTAATGTGTCCGTAGTGCAGACCGAAGTAGTTAGTGTCGTCAATATATTAGATGCGCTCTATGGCCCTTTTGAGCTTGATATAATTTTGACTGGGCTTGAGATCTGGACTGAAGGAAACCAAGTTGCCACAGATGACATAGACAAGCTTCTGGAAGATTTTGGATTGTGGAAGCGTTTACAACTTGATGCCCGACTGCCACATGATATTGCCCATCTTTTCATAAAAAAACTCTTTGGCATAACGCTTGGTCTTGCCTATGTTGGAGGAATATGCAAGACTCCTCACAATTCTGGAGTTGATGTTTTTGAAGATAGGAGTCTGCTTCTTTTTGCAGTTGTTGTGTCCCATGAGCTTGGTCATAATTTGGGTATGACTCATGACAATGACTGGTGTGTATGTGCACTTGAGTTTTGCATAATGTACCCCTCCAGACAGGCGACAGATAAATTCAGCAATTGCAGTTATGCCCAGTATTGGGACAATAGTTTCCGTAGTGGAAGATGTATTCAGCCTCCTCCACATACATGGGATATACTGCAGTATTGTGGGAACCTAGTGGTTGAAGAAGGAGAGGAATGTGACTGTGGAACTACACACCAATGTATAAGAGATCCCTGTTGTCTGTTGAACTGCACTCTGAAGTCTGGAGCTACTTGTGCTTTCGGGCTTTGTTGCCAAGACTGCAAGTTCATGCCATCAGGGTCTTTGTGCAGACAACAGATCAATGAATGCGACCTTCCAGAGTGGTGCAATGGGACATCGCATCAGTGCCCAGAAGATGTATATGTGCAGGACGGGATTCCCTGTAATGACAATGCCTACTGCTATGAAAAGAGATGCAATAACCATGACAAACAGTGCAAGGAGATTTTTGGCAAAGATGCAAGGAGTGCATCTCAGAAGTGCTACCAGAAAATCAACACCCAAGGAAGTCGATTTGGTCACTGTGATATCCAGGGCACAATATACGTAAGGTGTAATGCCTCTGATATCCTGTGCGGGAGAGTTCAATGTGAAAATGTGGGAGTAATTCCTAAACTGATAGAACATTCTACAGTGCATCAGCTTCACTTCAATAACACTACTTGCTGGGGCACCGATTATCATTTAGGGATGTCCATACCTGATATTGGTCAAGTGAAAGATGGCACAATGTGTGGTCCAGAAAAGATGTGCATCCAGAAGAAGTGCGTTGAGAAGGTTTCTCCTTCACAAGACTGTCAGCCTGATACCTGCAGCATGAAGGGGATCTGCAATAATAAACAGCATTGTCACTGCGACCGTGGATGGGCACCTCCCTTCTGTACACAGGAAGGCGATGGAGGTAGTGATGATAGTGGCCCACCTCCTAAGGCCCAGAAGTCTAAGGTTAAGTGGGGTTACCTGTTAGCATTGTGGCTTATTCGTTTGATTCCTTTAATTTTATGTTGCTGCCTTATGCTTTGTACGAAACGCACAGAAGAGGAGGAAGAAGAGACTGAAGAAGAGACTGAAGAAGAAACAGAAGACTAAGGCTCCTGCTTCATCAAACATATCTCTAGTTTTCTTTTAGTAGTAGAGAAACATTGGGGCATGTCTGACTGTTTAAAGAAAACATTAATGGTCCCTCATGTCAGGATCATAAGCATTAATATGACACCAAAGGATTTCTATCATGTTCTTACTCTTCAGTGTTTAAAGCAATATTAAAAGTTCACTTTTTCTGGAAGTCACGTCTTTATGTTTCCTGAGAAAAGACACAGCAAAGACACCTTTTAAAAAACTGAATTATAGTTGACATACAATATTATGTCAGTTTCAAGTGTACAGCATAGTGATTTGACACTTATGTACTTTACAAAGTGATCACCACAATAAGTCTAGTAACCATCTGTCACGATACAAAGTCATTACAGTATCATTGACTATATTCCCTATGTTGTACACGACATCCAGATAGAACATTTATAACTTGAAATTTGCACCTCTTAATCTCCTGACCTATTTTGCCCATCTCCCTATTCCTCACCCTTCTGGCGACCACCAGTTTGTTCTTTGTATCTATGACTTTGTTTTGTGGTTTTTTTTGTTTGTTTATTCCTTTGTTTTCTTTTTTAGATTCCATGTATAAGTGAAATGATATGGTATTTGTCTTTCTCTATCTGACTTATTTCACATAGTGTAATACCTTCTAGGTCCATCCATGTTGTCACAAATGGCAAGATTTCATTCTTTTTCATGGCTGAGTAATATTCTATTGTATATGTATACCACATCATCTTTATCCATTCATCTGTCAGTGGACACTTAGGTTGGTTCCATATCTTAGTTATTGTAAATCACGCTGCAATGAACATAGGGGTGCATGTATCTTTTTGAATTACTATTTTCATTTTCTTTGGATAAATACCCAGAAGTAGAATTGCTGGACCGTATGGTTGTTCTATTTTTAGTTTTTTTGAGGAACCTCCATACTGTTTCCCACAGTGGCTGCACCAATTTACATTCCTACCAACTGTGCATGAGTGTTCCCTTTTCTCTATATCCTCGCCAACAGTTGTTATTTGTTGTCTCTTTGATAATAGCCATTCTGACAGGTGTGAGGTGATATCTTATTGTGGTTTTGATTTGCATTTCTCTGATAATTAGCGATGTTGACAATCTTTTCATGTGTCTGTTGGCCATCCATCTGTCTTCTTTGGAAAAATGTCTATTCAGGTCTTCTTGCCATTTTTTAAATCAGATTGGTGTTTTTCGTTTTAATATATATTGAGTTGTATGAGTTCTTTATATATTTTGGATGTTAACCCCTTATTGGCTGTGCCATTTGCAAATATCTTCTCCCATACAGTAGGTTGTCTTTTCATTTTGTGGATGGTTGCTTTCATTGTGCAAAAGATTTTTTTTTTCTGAGGAAGATTTTCCTGGAGATAACATCTGTTGCCCATCTTCCTCTTTTTTGTATGTGAGCTGCCCCCACAGCTGACCACTGACAGACGAGTGGTGTAGGTCTGCGCCCAGGACCTGAACCCCAGCTGCTGAAGCAGAGTGCCAAACTTAACCACCACGCCACTGAGGCTGGCCCTGCAAAAGCTTTTTAGTTTGATGAAGTCCCATTTGTTTATTTTTGCTTTTGTTGCCCTTACCTGAGCAAAAATGCATTGCTAAGACTGATATCAAAGAGTTTACTGCCTATGTTTTCTTCTAGGCATTTTTTGAGTTCAGATGTTACATTCAAGTCTTTAATCTCTTTTGAGTTAATTTTTGTATATTGTGTCAGAAAGTAGTTCAGTTTCATTCTTTTGCATGTAGCTGTCCAGTTTTCCCAACACTATTTATTGTAGAGACTGTCTTTTCCCCATTATGTATTCTTGCCTCCTTTGTCCAAGATTAATTTACCATGTAATTGTGGGTTTATTTCTGGGCTCTCTATTCTGTTCTCTTCATCTGTGGGTCTCTTTTTGTGCCAGACCTATACTGTTTGGATTACTGTTGCTTTGTAGTACAGTTTTAAACCAGGAAGCATGGTACTTCCAGCTTTGTTCTTCTTTCTCAAGATTGCTTTGGCTATTCGGGGTCTTTTGTTTTAGGGTTTTAGGATCGCTTCTTCTAGTTCTATGAAAAATGCCATTTGTATTTTGATAAGGATTGCATTGAATTGTAGATTGCTTTGGGTAGTATGGACATTTAAAAAATAGTAATTCTTACAATCTATGAGCAGGATATATCTTTCCATATATTTGTGTCATCTTCAATTTCTTTCATCAGTGTCTTGTTTCAGACTACAGGTCCTTCACCTCCTTGGGTAAGTATATCCTTAGGTATTTTATTCTTTCTGATGCAGTTATAAATAGGATTGTTTTCTTAATTTCTCTTTCTGATAGTTTGTTGTTCATGGATAGAAATGCAACAGATTTCTGTATATTGATTTTATACTCTGCAACTTGACTGAATTCATCTATTAGATATAATATATTTTTGGTGGCGTCTTTAGGGTTTTCTCTATATAGCATCATGTCATCTGCAAATAGTGACAGTTTTACTTCTTTCTTTGAAATTTGGATACCTTTTATTTCTATTTCTTGTCCGAATGCTGTAGCTAGGACAATGCTATGTTGAATGAAATGGCAAGAGTGAGAATCCTTGTCTTGTTTCTGATCTTCGAGGAAAAATTTTGAGCTTTTCACTGTTAAGTTTGATGTTAGCTATGGGTTTGTCATAGATGGCCTTTATTATGTTGAGCTGTGTTCCCTGTGTACCCACTTTGTTGAGAGTTTTTAATCATAAATGGTTGAATTTTGTCAGATGTTTCTTTCTGTATCTATTGAGCTGATTTTTATCCTTTCTTTTGTTAATGTGATGTATCATGTTGATTGATTTGCAGATATTGAACCATTCTTGTATGCTGGGGATAAATCCCACTTGATCGTGACGTATGATCCTTTTAATGTAGTGTTGAATTTTATTTGCTAATATTTTGTTGAGGATTTTTGCATCTATGTACATCAGAGATATTGGCCTGTAGTTGCCTTTTTTGGTAGTATCTTTGTCTGGTTTAGGTATCAGGGTAATGCTGGCTTCGTAGAATGAGTTTGGAAGTGTTCTTTCCTCTTCAATTTTTTGGAATAGTTTGAGAAGGGTATGCATTAATGCTTTAAATGTTTGGTAGAATTCACCTGTGAAACCATCTGGTCCTAGACTTCTGTTTGTTGGGAGGTTTTTGGTTATTGATTCAATTTCATTATTAGTAATCAGTCTGTTCAGATTTTCTGTTTCTCCCTGACTCAGTCTTGGGAGATTGTATGTTTCTAGGAACTTTTCAATTTCTTCTTGGTTGTTCAATTTGTTGGTGTATAATTGGTCGTGGTTATTTCTTATGATCCTTTGTATTTCTGTAGTGTTGGTTGTAACTTCTCCTCTCTCATTTTTGGTTTTATCTATTTGGGACCTCTCTTTTTTTTTCTTGGTGAGTCTGGCTAAAGATATATCAATTTTATTCATCTTTTTGAGGAACCAGCTCTTAGTTTTATTGATCTTTTCTTTCTTTCTTAGCCTCTAATGGTTTATTTCTGCTCTGATCTCTATTTTCTTCCTTCTACTACTTTTGGGCTTTGTTTGATCTTTTTCGTGTAAGGTTAGATTGTTTATTTGAGATTTTCTCCTGTTTCCTGAGGTGGGCCTGTATCACTATAAGCGTCCCTCTTAGAACTGCTTTTGCTGCATCCCATAGATTTTGGAACATTGTGTTTCTATTTTCACTTGTCTCAAGGTATGTTTTGGTTTCCTCTTTGAATTCTTTATTGACTCATTGGTTGTTTAGTAGCACGTTGTTTAACCTCCATGTGTTTGTGTTGTTTCCAGTTCTCTTCTTGTAAGTGATTTCTAGTTTCATAGCATTGTGGTTGGAAAAGATGCTTGATATGATTTCAGTCTCCTTAAGTTTATTGAGACTTGTTTTGTGGCCTAACATGTCCTCTATCCTGGAGAATGTTTCATATGCACTTGAAAAGAATGTGTATTCTGCTGTTTTAGGATGGAATGTTCTGTATCTATCTATTAAGTCCTTCTTGTCTAATGTGTTGTTTAAGCCCAGTTGTTTCTTTATTGATTTTCTATATGGATAATCTATCCATTGATATAAATGGAGTGTTAAAGTCCCCTACTATTAATGTATTACGGTAGATTTCTCTCTTTATGTCTGTTAGTATTCTATATTCAGGTACTGTTATGTTGGTTGCATAAATATTCACAAATGTTATATGCTCTTCTTGGATTGATCCCTTTATCATATGTAGTGCCCTTCTTTGTCTCTTGTTACAGTCTTTTTTTTAAAGTCTATTTTGTCTGATATAAGCGTTGCCTCCTCAGCTTTCGTTTTGTTTTCACTTTCATGGAATATCTTTTTTCATCCCTTCACTTTCAGTCCTTGTGTGCCTTTAGATCTGAAGTGAGTCTCTTGTAGGCAGCATGTATATGGTGGTGTTCTTTTATTTATTCAGTCCCAGTATGTCTTTTGGCTGGAGCACTGAATCCACTTACATTTAAAGTAATTATTGATAGGTATGTATTTATTGCCATTTATTAATGTTTTCTGGTTGTTTGTGAAGTTCTCTGTTCCTTCCTTCTCTTGCTCTCCTCCCTTGTGATCTGATTAATTTCTTCAGTGGTACATTTGTATTCCTTTCCCTTTACTTTTTGTGTGCCTGTTATAAATTTTTGGTTTGTGGTTATCAAGAGGTTCACATATAGCAGTCTGTTTTAAGTTGATGGTCACTTAAGTTTGAGTGCATTCTAAAAGTACTACGTTTCTACCTGCCTCCATGTTTTATGTTTTGTTTTGTTACATCGTATTTGGCATCTTTTAGCTTTGCGTATCCTTAGCTGATTATTGTAGCTATAGATGATGCTTAGTACCTTTGTCTTTTAAGCTCATTCTAGCTATAGAGGTGGTTGGTCCACTACCTTTACTATATGTTCGCCTTCACGAGTGACACCTTTTCTTTCGTATTTTCTTATTTCTAGTTATGGGCTCCACTTTTCTGTTTACAGGAGTCTCTTTAACATTTCTTGTAAGACTGGTTTAGTGCTGATGGACTCCTTTAGCTTTTGCTTGTCTGGGGAATTCTTTATTTCTCCTTCAATTCTGAAAGATAACATTGCCAAATAGAGTACTCGTGGCCGTAAGTTTTTCCTTTCAGCACTTTGAATATATCATGCCACCCCCTTCTGGTCTGTAAAGTGCCTGCT